TCATCTGGCTGTTTCTTGAAGTTACTTAAATACTTAGATGGCCTGTCTTCACTCGTCCTGCTAATCTCAGCATTGTTTTCATCGGTTCATCGGTTTCTCTCTCGTTAGCGTCATCCACGACGTTGTATTGAACTGCCGCGATGTTCCGAGGTTCAGATCCTATTGTTACCAGCTGAGAATTCAGCTAGTCTATCCCTGCAAAGAACACGTCAGAATTGAACAGACAACTTATGGACTCGGAACTCCAAGTCCGTAAGTTGGCCTGTGGCTTCGGTCCAAGCTGCTCTTCGCCTCCTGTTTAGTTCCTCTTTCAGGTCGTTTTCCATGTTCATCGAACAACGCAAAAAGATGTCTCCGCGATTGGAGAGCCTTCTAAATCCTGATCTTCGCAGAAAGCGTTCTTCAAATCTTTCTCTGGTTAACTCGCATTCCTATCGGCTTCCCTACTTCGTTTAATTTTTCAACATCGTTTCCGCTTCAGTAATTCTTGAGAAAAAAATAATGTCGTCCGCAAAACGAATTCGAGAGAAATCTCCCATCAACTTGTATACCTCTCTCGTTCCAATCCAGTGATTTCATCACCCACTGCAACGCGGCGGCAAACAGCTTCGGCGACACGGCGTCGCCTTGTCGAACTACCTTCGAAATTGGTATGTTAAGGGTATGTTATATACCATTGTAGAGCAGTTTAGCAGTCGGCCAATATCCTCACATAGGATGGCTCCACCCCTTGGTGACGAACGCTGGCAGTGGTATTAGTCTCGACGCTGTCATAGGCTTTCTCATAGTCAACGAAGGTTAGGACGAGAGGTAGGCGGTATTATCGGCAAATCTCTGTAATCCTCGAAACTGTCTATGTGATCCACGCAGCTGAATTCCTGGCGAAATCCAGCTTGTTCTACAGGTTGAGCCTCATCCATTGTCCTTGATATGTGAGCGAGAATAATCTTCGTAAAAAGCTTGTAAAGCACCCTCAGCAGGATTGGACGGTAGTTCCGAAGATCCTCCCTATCGCCCTTCTTACGAAAATGGATTGTTCGGAATTTGCTACTGGTCGGGGATCCTTTCCATTTAAAGGTGAGATGCTAGATGTTCCGCAAGTATCTCGTGTAAGCGATGTTCTCTAGCTCCTAATAGGTCCGCCGAAACGTAGTCC